GCTTTAAGTTGAAAGGGTAGACCAAGTTTGACTTTTGTGTATTTGAATCCGGATCGAGTTTCGAGGTTCCGTACGTTAGGTCCGGATAGTAATTTTGGACTTGGACGTATACCCAGAATTTTATTTAGATATTTCTTGAAGGTTTCGGCACTAATTGGCAAAAGTTAGAAATTTAGAGCTTGTTTGGAAAGCCACTTAGGAATTGGATTTGAGTGTAATTGGGTGTAATTACATAGTTTGACATGTTTGTTTGACCAAGTAATTACTTGGTCAGCATGGAATTGGGTGTAATTGGAGGGGTGTAATTACACTCTCCAATTCTCAAGGGGGAGGTGAGAATTGATGGTACCTACACCGTGTAATTACAAGGTTACTTTTTAGTTTCTTGCCCTTTTGTTTTTATTTTATTTTCTTTATAACTTTTTATTTTTATTATTTTACTTTTTTAACTTTATTTTTACTTTTTTTTTGAAATTTTAAAATATATTTTTCTTTGTACATTATTTATCATTTATTTCTCTACCTTTACTTCTTGTGATTGCGTATAATTATTTATATTTTATTATTCTATTTTTTTTAAAACAACACCTCCTAATATTAAAAATAATAAGTCATTAACAAACTTGGCATATAATGAGTGATGCAATTAACGTGAAATTTCATTGTTGAATGTTGTTATAAACTTGTTATGTTTCCTAATCTTAAGTTGTAGTGGAACTTACTATTATTATGTTGGAATTTGACATATGTTAAACTTTTTTTTTGGATTTTAAAATTGTGTTATATTCACGGTTCCAATTTACTTGTTTTAGTAGTATTGACTCACATTGCTTGTTGTTCATTTTTTAGTTAGAATTGGTAGATTAGTTTTGTCACACATGAAAATTTTATGACAGTATATTTATAAATATTAATTTATTTTATCAAACATGAATTTCATGATATTCTTACAAAACGTATGTTTTTAGTTTTTGTAAGTATCTAAACTAAATATTATTAATTAAAAAATATATATAAATTATTTTTACAACATTAGTTATAAATATATAATTACTAATTAATGTATATTCACGAAAAAATATATATATTACACCAAATATAATATTATTAATACTTATATTTATAGGCATATATTTATTATATTAACTTTTAAATTTTGGTAATTACTTCATTTAAAATTTAATTTAACCGTGTAATTACATTTGTGCAATCAAACAGTAAACTTGAAATTACACTATAACAAACAAACAGGCCGTCGTAATTAGACAACTATGTAAGTACTAGGCTGTGTAATTACTAACCTAGTAATTACACCAATTCCAATTACCTGATGGCTTTCCAAACAGACCCTTAAAGATTTGAAAAGTTCATAAGTTTGACAGGGAATTGACTTTGATAATATCAGATTTTGATTTTGGTTTCGAAAATCGAAATAGGTCTGTTATGGCATTTATGACTTGTGCGCAAAATTTAAGTTCATTCCGAGTTGATTTGATATGGTTCGACATGAGTTTTGGAACTTAAAAATTCAAAGTTCATTTAAGTTTGAATTGAGGTGTGATTCATCGTTTCAATATTGTTATGCATGATTTGAGGCCTCGATTAGGTCTGTGTTATGTTATGAAACTTGTTGGTATATTCGGACAGGTTCCTGAGTGGCTCGGATGAGTTTCAGACGAAGTTCAGATCGTTTTGGATTAATTTGGCTAAGGCTAGTTTCGCAAGGGTCTGGTGTGACCACACCTGCAGAGCTATGAGCTCAGGTGTGGAACCGCAAAAGCGATAGTGGCATTGCAGAAGCGAAGAGTATGCTAGGGGCAGGAGTCCACAATTGCGAAATTTTCTTCCCATCTGCGAAGGCACAGATGCGGTGCAGGTGAGCCCAGAAGCGAGAGGCAATGCAGATGCGCGAATTGTGTTGGCACATGCGTTTGCGCAGGCGCGAGGCCTTCTCCACATGTGCGATGGGAGTGTTCTAGTGATTTTCCGCAGAAGCGGCCTTTTTATCGCAAAAGCAACGCTGTAGAAGCAGCCCTTTTGTTCGCGAATGCGAAAATGGCTGGGCAGAAGTTATAATTTCGACGGTTGGTCATTATATTCCATTTTGGGATTTTGGAGCTCGGTTTGGGCGACTTTGGAGAGGAATTTAACCACATGAATTGGGATAAGTATTCTTGACTCGCTTTTGATTATATTTCATGAATTAATCTTCGTTTTCGGTGTTTGATTATTGATTTTAAAGAGAAATTGGAGGAATTGTCTATAATTTCATAAAATGAATTTTCGAGTTTTGAACGCCGATTCAAAGTTGTATTTGAGTGAAACTAGTAAAATGAACTTTGTTGGGAGAATTTTTCCTACTAATTGTCATTTTTTGCTACTTGTGGGGGTGGTACGTATATAAGGTGACGAGCGTATATGCATGTACCATTGTTAATCATGCTCAGGGGTGAATTATACAATAAAGTGTGCCCTGTAGAATTGTGTGACCTTCTTGCTTTATGTCTTACTTGACTTCTAGATTACTAAGAATATGAAATTAAATGTTAGAAATCAAGATTTAGCTTATTATAACTTGATTAAAATTTGGCGGATTTTTGAGAAATAATTGATGCATCTAATATGGCCATCATTATGCTTGTTTGTGCAAATAAATGCTAAACTAATTAGTATAAACTAATAGGATGAATATTAGTTGAATTTAATAATCTCTAGATAAACTAATAGGATGAATGCTATGATTGACAAGATGTGCAATATCATAAACGTGTAATAAATGCAAGAAATAACAAGGATTGTAGTATAGAAGAATAGTCACCCAATGATTATATGATTGAGTGTTTTCTTTTTCTGGCGACGTGGAAACTAAAGCATTCAATGTCTAACTGAGATCTTGAGATTTATAGGTAAATGATGAACAATATGTGTATGGATGATATGAATAAGACAACTTTCTTGTATATTCTTTTCTCAATCTTACAATATCTCTCAGTTCTCGAAAAGGGCAGATCCCCTTCTTATTTACTATCTTCTCCTATTTATAAGGGACATTCCCCAAAAAATCCTAAAAGGTACAATACAAAGAATATTCCAAAGGTATACTCTTCCTATTTCTTTCTAAGTTTAGTCTACCGAAACGACTTCATTCCAACCAGTCGCCTCTGGTCGTCGTCCTTTGCCACAACGATCGTCAGTCGTTGTATTGTGGTGACTCCGTCCCAAGCCTCGCTTATCCGTTATCGTGGTTGTCAAATTTTGACCAATACAATACTTAATCACTAATACATCGCTACGACCGTTATTCTTGAGATATTAGATTCTATACTTGAGTTGAGGATCATTTTTGATACTTGTTGAAATACTTGAACAATAAGGTTGTTGAGAGTTTATTGAACTATTATTGGCTTGAAAGTTGTGATTGAGATTCATTTGGAATATTCGTTTAATCACTCCCCTCGATATTATTCATGTTTCCTGCCTTGCTTGTCATTGATATATATATATATATATATATATATACATACTTAGTGAGGAAGATCATAAAGCACGAAGGGTGATACCGTGCCATTATATATACATTATCATGTGAGAAAGAGTGTAAAGTACAAATCCCCTTCTTATTTACTATCTCCTCCTATTTATAAGGGACATTCCCCAAAAAATCCTAAAAGGTATAATACAAAGAATATTCCAAAGGTATACTCTACCTATTTCTTTCTAAGTTTAGTCTACCGAAACGACTTCATTCCGACCACTCGCCTCTGGTCATCGTCCTTTGCCACAACGACCATCAGTCGTTGTATTGTGGTGACTCCGTCCCAAGCCTCGCTTATCCGTTATCGTGGTTGCCAAATTTGACCAATACAATGTTTAATCATTAATACATCGCTACGACCATTATTCTTGAGATATTAGATTCTATACTTTAGTTGAGGATCATTTTTGAGAGTTGTTGAAATACTTGAACAATAAGGTTGTTGAGAGTTTATTGAGTTAGTGGCTTGAAAGTTGTGATTGAGGTTCATTTGGAATATTCGTTTAATCATTCTCCCCGATGTTATTCATGTTTCCTGCCTTGCTTGTCATTGATATATATATACTTGGAGAGGAAGAGCATAAAGCATGAAGGGTGATGTTGTGCCACTATATATACATTATCATGTGAGAAAAAGTGTAAAGTACGAAGGGTGATACCATGCCATTATATATATATATTATTATGTAAGGATGAAATTAAAAGCACGAAGGGTGATGCCTTGCCATTTCACTTATATTATCAAGCGAGGATGAGAGTAAAAGCACGAAGGGTGATGCCGTGTCATTTCTTTTATATTATCATGCTTTTATATTATCACGAGTTCATGGCACTAAGGGTGTTTCCGTGCAGGTGATTTCCTTGTGATATCTTTTCCTTGTTTATACGTTCATGTGCTTACGTTGAGCTGTTACTATTGTACCTATGTTTCCTATGTGACTTGTCGTTGTTGTTCTGTTTTTGTTCTCTATCTCAATTGTTGTTATGTTGCCCATGCCTTCTATTTTTTTTAACTTGCAAATATCATGCCTCCCTTCTTGCTGATATATCTATATCATGCCGTTTTTACTTTGTTGCACTTTAGTATGTAGACATGTAATTTTTGACCCTCCCCGAGATTTTACTCTTTTTAGCTTTTAGATATTTAGTTTAGGCCTAATATTGCTATTTTACCTAGTTTTAACTATTTTACTTTATTTTAAGAACAAAAATTAAAAATTACAAAAATAGTTCCATATTTCTCTATTAATTTCACATATTAGATATTTTAGAAAGATATGTTACTTCGAACCTATTTTATTTTAATATAATCTTTGAAATACCAAAAATAGTTTCAACTTTAATTTTCAGTTCTATTTTAAATATAACAGTTTATTATAATAATTTCAACTTTAATTTTTAGTTTTACTTGTATCTTCTTATAAGTATTTTTAGAAGTAGATTAAATTTTTAGCCTTTTCTTAGATCAATTATATAGAATTTTAGCCCAAAAATGAATTCTTGAAAGGGGCCCAATTTTTTTAAGCCCAACAAGACCTAATCCCCTTCTTCTTTAACCCATAGCCCCCTTCTTCTTCTTCTTCTTCTTCTTCTTCTTCTTCAAGAGACAACATGAAAGAACCCTAGCTAGATGATCTTCTTCTCAACCTTAATACACATAAGGAGACAAGAACTAAAAACCTTGGACACTAGAGAAGCCGCCGCCGCCCCTATCGCCGGACTCCAGCCGTTACCATAACTTCCTCAACCTTAGCACACCAAAGAACCAACGGCACAACAGATCTCTAAACCAAAAAGAAGCAGATCGGTGCCCTCCCCCTGCCTCTAATCTCCAAGACTTTAGAACCTAACACATACAAGAACACCAGCGATTGTATCATCTCCTTCACATTACTGCCGCCGCCGGCCAGCTCATCTTCAGCCTCACCAGTCCGCCGTCGGTGACTCTCAACCAGAACACCAGCCCCGTCGCCATTAACCAAACGCCCACCCATTCCTTTTCCAACAAAACACATACACACACGCACGCACATCATGGGTAAAGAAATTTTCGTCTAGCTTGACGGAAATTTGGTAGAGAAAGGATTTTCTTTTAGTTTCTGATACTCCGCTTCAGCTCTTCGCATAAAAAAATGGAATCAGTTTCTTTAAAGTTTTAGTTTTCCTTCAAAATCAGAAAACACAAAAATACGGCTGTTCGTGGCTGCTGTTCGGGTTCATGTTTGAGGTTTCGGTCCGAGTTACGATTCCTGCTGTTGCGTTGTAGTTCTTTACTTCAGAGTTTGTTGCAAATCTGCGTTAAATTCCTTGCAAAATCCATATAAGTTGGCTCGTTGAGGTTCCTTCTCATCCCTTTATCCTTTGTTTGCAATGTTATTTTGTGTGTGATGATAGGTTATTCCGTGATATCGGTCCGTATAAATAGTTTTACGCCATAGAGATTTGTGGTTGATAATCTTAGACTCACTTAGATCTCATTATTTTTCTAGAAAAAATATATTATTGCTCTCTTGATGTTTGTTAGACTTGTTTTACGGTGCTTTCTCTATTTAAGCTAAATTTGAGGTTTCATTCTAATAGGAATAATTAATTAGTCTTAGATTCACATATTTGACCTCCTCCATTCTAAATGAATAACAGTTCTTTATTCCAATATATTTGTTCCAATGAATCCGTGGGTAGTCTTTAAGTTGACAAATATGGGACGGTTTTGAAGACATGATTCTCTGTTAAATTGGCCAATTTTTTATCGCTTCATTTCATTTTTCCTTTGCTATATGTCCCTTGTCTACTAGTTTCTCAAATAGTAGTTATTTGTTTCTCCACTAGCTATTTATTAGTCCCGTATTTGAATAGTTAACTGTTAGATCTTTCATTATTTATATGTTTTGGATAATTTGTTCCTTGTTGTTTGGCTCATATGAATTATCAAGACTTTGGACGTGGGAGGTGAAGTTAAGTAAAAAATGAGTTGGACCTTAAGATGCTTCATTATTTTATGTTATTACTTAACCGCTAAGAGCATGTTTAGGCCGACCAAACTAGGGTAGGCAAGCCGTAGGATTATGTTAATTTCGAGGCGAGAGGTCGTTCCCTTAGTTAAATTTATTCGGAAAATGCCCCGAAGGATTTGTATATATTTTTATCCGGGGTATGTCCCGTAGTATTTTGTAATTGGAGGCCGTGGTGAACATCATAGAAGAAGTAGCGTAGGATAATTTAGAACTTTAATTTTCCTTCTTTTAGTTTTTTTTTCATTTAGGTGGGGACGACCTCGAGCTTCTTTTGTGTTTATTTTCCTTTTCTGTGTTTGTTATCTCAATTCGATTATTTTAAAAGCCAACTAGATCTATGCAACTGTACTAGTTACGGGACTTGGGGAGTGCCTAACACCTTTTCCCCGAGTCAAATGAACCCCTTTACCCAAATTTCTGGTGGAGACTTAAGTTGGAGTCCGAAGTGTTTTTAAAAGGAAAATCATTTTTAAAATGGTGACCTGGCACACCGAAACAAATGTCAGGTGGCGACTCCGAGTTATTTCCTTTTGAACACAATTTTGTCACTTTCTAATTGGAAAATCCTTTTCAAGCTTTACAATTTTTTTTATTAATTTATGAGGGTTAGTGAGGTTTTTAAAAGAAAGGGTGTGACATCTCTGACGACTCTGCTGGGGAATTGCAGGTTCGAGCTAGTACTTGATCTTGTTGGCTTTTTAGGATATTCGATTGAGGTTTTTTTATGTGTTTTGTTTGCTTTATTTGATTTTTATTTTGTTTATGTCGTTTTATTATTTGTTAGTTGCTTATTTGTTTACAGTTTTTTCTTTATGTGTTACTGCTTTATAAATTGTCATCATTTGCATAACCCCGGGTCATTTTTCTGCAACAAGTCTTCCGGAGTAAGTTTGAGCGTACACGGCCTTTTTGTGAGTCACCCGTGTCTTTATGGGGGTGGCGTGGGAGCGTGGAGTGGGCGGATAGCTAGAGCAGCCGCATCGACCACGTGCCGCCCCGAATTGCCTTGTCTAGTGAACCCTCAAACTTAGGTAAGCCTTTAGGTCATGCTTATTTGTATAATGTCATTTACACTTAGCAAGGCTCGGTCCTAGGCACTGTGTCCCTTTATAGGATGCCTATCCAAATTATGTCAAAACGGGCTCATGGCCCAAAAAGGACATTCAATCATCCCTATGTGATACACGTTGCATCTTTGAGGGTAAAAAGGTCATTTGGTGGACCGATGTTTGGGAAAGAAGGGTGAAAATAAAGCAAGTAGGGCCTAGTTATATTTTTCTTTCACAAATTTTTGAAAATGAAAAATCCGATAAAAAAGATTTTACACTTTTCCATCATTTTCCAAAATTCAAAAAAAAAAAATCCAAAAAGATTTTACATTTTTCATAACTTTTTCAAAAAGACAAAAAAAATATGTAATTTTTTTTTTCAAATTAGATGCATTTTTTTAAAATTCTATCCTATATCTAATCTTCCCGAACTACGCATACCTGATTCTCGTCTTTCGGGGCGGGATACGTAGGCAACCCACATAGGGTACGGCCTTTCTTAGTAAGTCTAAGGTTCTTGGCTTCACGGGGTCTTACCCAAATCTTGCATATATAGCCACTTTTGGCCACATCGGCTTTGTTGCAAAATAGGGCTATTTTGCAAAGTGGCTAGTTGAACCGTGCTTGGAGAGTCTAGAATCCACAATTAGCTGTTTCCTTACTTCAAGGCCCGTTCCTGTTGAATTTGAATGTCTAGCCACTTTTGGCCACATCGGCCATTCTTGCAAAATGGGGTTATTTTCACAAAAGTGGTTCCATTACTCATGTCTTAGGATCTTGAGTCCACAACTCGGTGCCATATTACTAAGTCATACCATGAAAGAGAGTGCGAAGGACGGTGTCTATTTCAGACAACCAGATCGGGTTCATGCCGGGGCGATCTACCACAGAAGATATCCACCTTATTAGGAGGATGGTGGAACANAATGGTTCGGGCAAATTCAGAGGAGGAGTACTGATGCACTGGTGAGGAGGTGTGAGCGACTGGCTGTAGTGGGCACGCGGAGAGGTAGAGGGCGACCTAAGAAGTATTGGGGAGAGGTGATCAGACAGGACATGACGCGACTTAGGATTACTGAGGACATGGCCCTTGACAGGGAATTATGGAGGTCGAGCATTAAGGTTGTAGGTTAGGGGAAAGTTGTGAATATTTCTACAGCACAATAGAGTGAGACTAGCTAGTTAGGAGTTAGACGAAGAATGTCATTGGTCGTCTATTGATGCAGGGCTTTACCTGCTAGTTTTACTATACCAGCCATCTATTTCGTATTTCGTATTTCGTATTCTGTATTTCATATCTCTTATATTGCTGTTATTTATTATGCATTTTTATGGTACTAATATATCGGCTCCTGTTTTTTTTTTAGCCGAGGGTCTCCTGGAAACAGCCTCTCTACCCTTCGGGGTAGGGGTAAGGTCTGCATACATATTACCCTCCCCAGACCCCACTTGTGGGATTATACTGGGTCGTTGTTGTTGTCGTTGTTGTTGTTGTTCTTCCTTTTTGAGTTTGCATCTTTAGCCACTTCTGGCCATATCAGCCATTTTTGCAAAATGGGTCATTTCTGCAAAGTAATTTTTTTAAGGCCATGATTGTTGGGATGTTGGAGACATGTGAGCTTTAAATGGAGTATTTTTCATGTATTAGGGGTCAACTTTGTCAACTTTGCGCTAATAGCCACTTAGGTCATTTTGCAAAAATAGCCAAATTATGCCTTGCATGTGTCCAATAGGAGATTCCATGGTGTCTTGAGTCACTGATCTATTTAATCTTATTTTTCCCATTCAGGTATGGAGCAATTTGCTAAAGTTTGAACATGACAAAATACCCCAGGACCATTCTAGTCAAGACCATTGCATGCACGAGCTGCTTGAGGAAACTTTTTATTTTTTTCCTCTATTTTATGTTGTCTTTTAATTATTAGTCTTGTACCGTAGTATCGAATCTGTCAGTCTAGTAAAGATTTTCTAGTCTTTTGTTATCATACTTCCTATGATGTATTTGAAAACCAAAAAAAGTTTATATATGAAAAGTTCAAAAAGATTTTTGTTTCTTAGTTTATTTTGTCCACTACTTTTTCCAGAACTACGCTTGATCTGATTCATGAGGAACATAATACGTAGGCAACCTACATAGGGTTCGATCGAATCATTTTTCAAAAAATAAAAAAAACGAGAAGAAGGAAAAAAAAGAGAATGAAATTGCGGGACATGAGAAATGAGAGGAAAGAAAAGAGCGATAATCAGAAAGAAAAGAGGGGAAAAGAAATGAAAAACCAAGCGGTGTTAGAAAGGAAGATCAAAAAGGAAATGGGGCAAGAAGAGTAAAATTAGGATGATGCCATATGACCTTCGTACCCTCGAAGCCATTCTAGAACCGTTAACTATGGCTAGGGGCATTGCACGCAATGTGATATTTCTATCTGATAAATGCTCTAATGCTAACATATTGGCTTTGTTTTACTCCTCTTTGTTACTTTCATTGTTATTATAATAGAGGGTGGTTAGTTTGTGGTACTTTGGTGATTTGTCCATACAACACAAGGTCAAAAGCAAGGGAGACATGGCTAGTAAAGATTTGGACACTGGAGTTGTAGACCCACCAAGGGAGATTGTGGAGTTGGAATCTGAATTGAAAGAGGAGGTCCAAAGGTTGAAACAGTAGATGGCAGAAATGTATCAGTCTTGGATCAGGGGGCATCCTCCACCTTCATTCCCCACTAACTACACTGAAAACCCTACAACTATCCCACCACTATCACAAGCCCAGGTTCCCACTACTATTGATCATTACCCTCAACACGCCTTGGGCTTTACCCCTTACCAGAATTACCTTGGAACTTCCTCCCAAATTTTCCATGCTACACCAACCAAAACAACCTCATACCCTGCTCCGACATCTACTCCTATTTTTGTAGCTCCTCCACCAGCTACTCTTCCTCGATTCTATAGCGATGTTGTGTTCAAAGTGCCCGATGCCCAAGGAAAGAGACCCAAGGAAACTTTTAGAGAATTTTGGTTTAGATGGAACGAGCAAGTTAATCGGGTCAGTTTTCCGATTGATAGAAAAGATGTTGCTGAACCCCGCCAACGACATGATCTAGTGGGCATTCCTACTAAATGCTTTCAGCTTCAATACAGATCCCATGAATATCCTCGTACTCTAGATAATCCTCACCAATGCTACTTTCCTCCACAAAATCCCCAAAGTCATACCCCACCTCCCCAGTACTCTATCCACAATGAACCGCCATATGCTCCATACTCACAAAACCCGCAACGACTTGCACCGCCTCCATAGATGTCTTACCCACCTCTACAAGCATATTAACCCCCTACCCGAAAGAGGTTCCAACCAAGGTCGGAGTACAAAATAAGAAGGCAGCAGCAAAGAGAAAAGTCTTTCACTCCAGTCGGAAAATCCTACACAAGCTTGTTTGAAAAGTTAAAACAATCTGGCCTGATTGAGCCACTCATCATCTATACTCCGGACCCATATGCGAAAGGTTTTGATCCTACTGTACGGTGCATGTACCACTCTAATGTCCAAGGGCATAACATTGAAAATTGTCGTGCTTTGAAAATGGAGATAGAAAGAATGATTCAAGAAGGGATAATTGTGGTCCAAGACAGTGACACCCAGAACATTGCACAGAATCCTTTACCTACACGTGATGATGCACACTTTGTGGGGAAGATGCGTGGTGACAAGGAGTATGAGAATCCTCTTGGGAACTTGCTGACTGAAGTTAATGATATTGAGATTGGTTAAGGTCCCAGTATTTTTGATGTGCAATCCAGTGGCTCAGATATCGAGCTTGGTAATTGGAAAGACACTCCTTGGCTAGCCAGGGAGGAGTTTTGGTAGTTTATTTTGTTGTCATTTCTGTTTATCAGGGTTATTTCAGGGTTGTAATCCAGACATTGTCTTGTGGTTCAAACTCTTCTTCTTTTTGCCTAGTTCGTTTTATTATAGTAACTCGTCTAGTGTTATCCAGGATTGTAACCCATGTCTATTTTGTTTGTATTGTTCAAACCCTGTTCACCATCTATCTAATGCAATCTCCTATTTTCTGTCGGTTTTTGTTTAGGTCATTTTTCCTTAGTTCTTTTCATGCCGACTTTAGTGACATGACATGCACACATAATTTTTAGCCTGGTCTTGAAAGTTAGTTTAATCATGAAGCAATGACACAGTTTGAACACGATAAAAGAGGTATTTGAGGAAACAAGTAGTGATTCACTTATTCTGAGATGACCTGAAGCTTAAATTGAGTGAAACTGAGGCAGTTGGTCTGAAAAAGCAAGAGGTTGATGAGAGCATACAACAAGGGAATGTCTCTTAGCAGTTTGAGGTAGATCAAACAGTGTTGAAATGCATTCTTCCACATCAAGATAAGGTTGAGTCAATCTGCTTCGAACTGGCAAGGGTCATTCATTGGGACAAAGGTATTGCCCATTGGCACTTTTTGTTTGTGTTGATGCCATCAATAGAGACTACGCTTGATTTGTTTGCTTATCTTCAATTACATGTTTGTACTTGGCATTTTTAAGTTTGGTATGGTGAAGGCATTTTATTCTGCTACCCAAACACTTTTAACCTTTGCTACCCATTTTGAGCCCTAATTTTTTGTTTCATACCCCTCTTTTGGAATCAGAAATAGAGTTAGGAACTAGAAAAGGAAAAGAAAAAGAAAATAAAAAGAGATAAAAAAAGGGAAAAGAAGAAAAAGAAAGGAAAAAAAAGAGAAAAGAAAAACGACAAAATAGTCCAACTTTGTTTGAACTACGTTCGACCTGATTCTTATCACCACAAGATACGTGGACAGTCTTACGGTTCGATCGTACCAAATAAAGTATTGCATAATTCCCCGAAGTCAAGAGTAGGGCAGTTTTTCTTAGAACTCCCAAGAAATAATAATTCCCCAAACTCCAAGAAATTGGGGCAAAAGTTTTAATTTTGCCAAAAGGCCTGATTCCAAAAGTTGTAATTTTGAACCCTTTCATATTTTTGAGCCTTCATGCCACCATTTCTTTCCAACCCTATCCAAAAACCTACATTACGGTCCAAAGAAAGACCTTCTGACCAATCTTTGAGGATGCCAAATTAAGTGTGTGGTGAAAGTATGATCTTCCTGCATCATGAGTAATACCTTTGTTCTCAGCACAATGAGAGAAAATGATAAAATAAGAGAGTCTTATCGGTGAAAACCCTCAGGGGAACCGTAAGGCGATGGTGAGTTGAGAAAAGAGCAAAATAAGAGAGGATTGATGGTGAAAACCTTCAGGGCACTACAAGTCGACAGAGGATTGTGGATCAAATGGGACAATTGAAGCGCTGAAGCCCAGTTTCACAGCGAAGAGGTACAACAAGAGTTGAATATTAGACTTGCTTGAGAGATTAGGCCACTTAATCCAAAGGTGCATGTATTGGTCATTAGAGTTGGTATCCACATCTGATAAGCTTCTACTTCGTCATTTTCTTGTTAGGTATCATCTATTTCCCTTGTTCCTTATTTTGTTCCTCTCGTGTTGATTGAATCCCTTCTTGAGTCTGTTTGGTCAGAACAAGTAAAAAAATGACTTCAAAATCTACTACCAGCTTTACAATTGCACAAAGCGGAGTCTAGCTAGCACATCAAAATGGCATAAGTCAGGAAAGAACAGTATGCACATTGAGTTGGTAACAATCAACATGCTTTGGGATTCATGTGAAATGCAAAGGTTTTGTAAATGTCAATTCACGAGCAAAATGCAACAGATAGAGGATATTGGGATCGAATGGAGCAGAGGTGTTTTTTGTGATAAGGGTTGAAAGAAAATGGGTAGTCGATAACAGTCAAGGTCGTCCAAGTTGAAACCAAAGTTATTTTGGCAAGTGTAGAAGCAGCTGCTCTCAAGGTCAAGGCCACAAACTAACCACCACGTTTTCAAACTAACAAAATTTTATTCGTCTAAAACAGGGGCAAGAAAATTTGTTAATCCACAGGGACCCTCCCATGAAGAAGGCATGGCTCAGGGGCAAGAAATTCTGTTCAGAATCCTCCAAGAAGAGAGCATGGCTCAAGTAAGTTCATTCTCGTCTTTTCATGACCCTTCTGGATAATGGGATTTAGTTTTCAAGTTTTCAGGACCCTCCTGGATAATGGAATTTAGTTTTAAAGTTTTCAGGACCCTCCTACATAATGTGATTTAGTTTTCAAGTTTTCAGGACCCTCCTGGATAATGGGATTTAATTTTAAGTTTTCAGGACCCTCCTAAATAATGATATTTAATTTTAAGTTTTCAGGACCCTCCTGGATAATGGCATTTAGTTTTTAACTTCTCTGGACTCTCCTTGATAATGAAATTTAATTTAAAATTTTCAGGACCCTCCTGGATAATGGGATTTAGGTTTTTAAATTTTCAGGACCCTCCTAGATAATAAGATTTAATTTAAAATTTCCTGGACCCTCCTGGATAATGGGATTTAGGTTTTTAAATTTTCAGGACCCTCATGGATAACGAGATTTAATTCTAAATTTTCAGGACCCTCATGGATAATGGGATTTAGGTTTTTAAGCTTTCAGGACCCTCCTGGATAATGGGATTTAGTTTTTAATTTTCAGGACCCTCCTGGATAATGGGATTTAGTTTTTAAGTTCTCAGGACCCTCCTGGATAATGAGATTTAATTTAAAATTTTCAAGACCCTCCTGGATAATGGGATTTAGGTTTTTAAATTTTCAGGACCCTCCTGGATAATGTGACTTAATTTAAAAGTTCTTAGGATCCTCCTGGATAATGGGATTTAATTTAAAATTTTCAGGACCCTTTTGGATAATGGGATTTAATTTAAAATTTTCAGGACCCTTTTGGATAATGGGATTTAATTTTAAAAGTTCTCAGGACCCTCCTGGATAATGGAATTTAATGTAAGTTTTCAAGACCCTCCTGGATAATGGGATTTAGTTTTAAATTTTCAGGACCCTCCTGGATAATGAGACTTAATTTTAAAAGTTCTCAGGACCCTCCTGGATAATGGGATTTAATTTAAAATTTTTAGGACCCTCTTGGATAAC